TTAAATAGGTAAGTATATAGGTAATAAAATAGGTAATAGATAATGAAACATAATATGTACCTAATCGTGTTTCGTGATAAACATATATCATTAAAAAGTTCTAATTTTTCAGGTATTATTTCTTCAACCACTGCAGTTAAAATACATTTTTTAATAAAATCACTATCACTGAGAGGTTTAGTCTAACTAGCCATTAAATTCTCTACTTTATAAGCTCGCTTGTACATTGTACAACATTTGTTTTAATCGAATTTTGTTGTTTAAATAAATTTAAAACATTTTGGGTGTGGATATATTTTTTTGAATGCTTCTAACTTAGTAACACGTAATTCTCCTAATAAAATAATATATAGGTAATATATTAAGATTTTATAACTAAATTTTATCGAAAATAATTGCTACCTTTCAAATGGGCTAATGTATCTTAATGTTTTGATTCGTAATATCGTTTGATGTTAAATTCTTTAAAAACTGAAACCGTTTCACGACACACAAGACAAAGTGCTTTTCCATTAATTTTTTATGAAAAAGTAATTTATAAACCATTTTTCATTAAAAATTTGGCAATCATCAGTATATTTGCGTTTTTTTTCTGTCTGACATTTTCATACGGAAACATTACAATTAAATATCGATATTACCCGTGCACTTAAAATAACGTACTGATCAAACTTATGTGTACTAGTGTACCTACGATGTGTATCTCAATTTATAATATTTTCAATAGACAATAAAAGATAAGAAAATAAGTCCAATATATAAGATTATTTTTGTACTTTAATACTTTGTGGCCCGCTTGAAGATAATTGTTTACCAAAGGGGCCCGCCAAAGGAAAAAGGTTGGGCATCACTACATTAGAGGGTTATTGCATTAAACATAATATTTAATATATGCAATTAAAATTATAAAAATATGCAACTAAAATTATTTTTATTTGTAAAAAATCATATCAAAGTGATCAAATATGTACCTAATCAAAGTTTTTAGGGCATTATTTTAGCATCTGAAGACATTTTTGGGTTTTAAGGACATATTTTTGATCATAAAGGCACATTTCAGGTTTTAATGCATATTTTGTTGGTTAATCAAAAATCAAGCATTTCGGTAAATAAGTTTAATGAATCAAGGTCAACAATTATATTAAATTTGAGTTAAGAATTCAGTATATCTGTAGTGTAATTGTTTTTTTTTTAACCTACATCAAATATATATAGGTAGATACAAAATAGAATATAGTACCTAAAATAATTAAAATAAAGAAAATATTTACAGGCAATTTTAGAGTGCAATTTTATTTTTAAAGCATATTTAACTGCACATTTTTAATTTTTTGACGAATAGTGCATATAAGTAGTCGTATTGTATATATTACATTTCAACATTCTAATATTAAAATTTGTATGTCAATTGAAGTCTTCTTCTCTTTTCTGTGGAATCTGCATTAAATTAGTCAATTATTGTATCAAAATTAATTTTAAGTCTTTTCAATATGTAAAAATAAATATAGTAATGTTACTAAGCCTTTCTTGGCCAATGGTGTTTCTCGTAAATGTTTTGCGACGAAGAGATGCAAACTAAAGTTCACTCAGAGCAGAACACACTCATTGGAATAGATGCAATTTTTTTAGAAATACAGTAGGTATATAAATTTAATATTGTCAAATGAGCAAATAAAGTCTTTTACTAATACAAATTTGAAATGGGCTTAATAATTTTCAGTGATATTAGTTGATGAACAAAATTTCCCAAACTGTTCTAATTCTGCCCTTAAATCATCGAAGTGAAAACCTACTGTTAGTGTTACAAATTTCTAAAATATCTCCATCCCTCGAAATTAAAGTTTCCCCTTGGTTTTGTTTTCACTCGAGAATTATGAGAGGAAATTAAATTCTATTACTATGATTTATTGTGATGTCAAAAGGCAATAATTAAAAATGTTTGATTAATCCGTTAATTATTTCTCATGATAATATTTTAAGCAAAATAAAACTAAAAGTTTATAAATTGACGAAGTTAAAAAAAAGCGGGGAAATGGGTGTCGCTCTGCTGCACAGTAGCATTGGTTACAAAGGTTATAAGTCGGTCACTTTAATGGTTAAATTCATTTTACCAAATGTCATTATGTATAAATATATAAAATATAATAATAAGCTCTAAAAGTTTCATTTACCCATGAATAATATTTTTAAATTACAACAAAATAACTAAAATTATTTTTCTTGGTTTAATCATGTAGGTAATTTGGTTCAAATTTAACGACATGAACTAAGATAGTATGGAATGAAAACTGGTAAATGAGGATTAAAACGTAGTTTGCTTATTAAATTAATAAGCCTAACAGTTGTAAACTTAGACAAATTAAATTTGATATGACTAACTTTACAGCTTTACTTAACTTAATATTATAATTAATGACTATAGTAATTAGGTACCTTTTCCTTTTTTTAAATTACATTTTTAATTGATTGACATTGTAACGTGTAATGAAATAACTTCATATTTGTAATATGCTATTAAAAATTTCATTGAAAACTTGTCTGAAAATAAAAATATACATAATATTAAATATTAAGTATCTTTATAAATTGTACTCAGAGTAATTGACTTTTAAATTTTCATTAAAATTAGTGTCTACCAAGATAATAATTTTTGAGAAAAAATATTTGCAATTGTATTTGGGAATTGTTTTGTACGTCCATTGTTTGATCTAAAATTTTTAATTTATGAGAATTGGACATTAATATCCAAAATGTGTAGAATTATTGAGAAACTGTAACATTTATTGGATTTGGTAACTCTGGTTGATAACACAAAATTATTTTTAAAGTTAAACCATAGAAAAATGACTACCTACCTACTATTAAATAACTATAACTACCAAGTATAGAATAATATGCACAACTTTTAAAATACATTCTTTGTTTGGTTTAGTATGTGAAAGCATAATATTTAATTATTTTAACATATGTACCTATGATATAAATAAATAGGTATGACATATTATAACAATATTAAGATTAATTGTTTTTGATCTATTTAGTGTTGGGTAATAATTCATTTTATGGTTGTAATCTAAGGTAGGGTTAATTTTTATTTTATAGCTAAAGACTGTGTCCAACAATGTAGGCATTAAACAATATTAAATAAACATATCATCTTTGATAAAGTTATGTGAAGATCAGTCGATCTCCAGTTCAAAAAATAAAATAATAAAAAGCATATCAACTGAAATTTAACATTTTAAATTATAGACTAATAACAAATTGATATGTAGTTAATAATACTTGAACTGAAAGAAATGATAACACAATTAAACGCAATTGTAGTATGTATTTTATGAATTTTAAAGAGGAGTTGAATAAATAATTTGTGAAGGAAAATGGAACATGAAAGATAGCGAGTAATCTAAAGAAGAATTATTTCTTAAACACATTAGATCAGTGTTTCTTAACCTTTTTGTTATCACGGAACCTCAAACAAATATATTGTTTTTATGCGGAACCCCTATGAAAATTATCTTTAAAAAAGTATAAATGAATAATTGATAAATGATGTAGATAAACAACTGATAAAGTGCTTTCGCGGAACACAGGTTAATAGAAACACTGCATTAGATCTGGTCAAGTCCAAGTTTTTAATGGTGTAAAATCTTTCGAAAGCAGTTTCACAGCATCGAGGCTAGGGCCACATTTATATTTATCATTAGGTAATTAGACTTGGCCATAATATGGGAAAGTACACAAAAACATTAGTTACAGAGGATAAATCCTTAATGACACATTAGGACAATAGTTTATCCTCCACAAAAGTACCTCTATAAAATATATATAAACATTTTGGAAGTTCAGCCAGTTATGGTGCAATGTTTAGGCTAGATATGTTTAATAATAAATAATTAATAATTTAATAATAATTATAAATACAGCAAACTAATTTGTTGCATTGTTTTATGATTTTTTGGTGTGATGTAATACTTATTTACTTTTTACCATACAAATGATAGAATTTATTACTAAATAAAACTAAAATAATAGGACAATATTATACCAAATTTATATTTATATACAAATGCATATGAATACAATTAATGTAAATTATATTATTATATTTTATTATAATCAGTATATTTCAATTATGAAGGATAACTAATTAAGCACCTATTAATAACATATTTTAGAATTTTGGTACGAGTCTCATGTAACTATTAACAATTGTTTGTTTTTGTCATTTAACAATTTGAACACATACTAGGATCTACAAGATTATTTTGATATTTTATTTCAAAACAATTGTTTAATTAAAATTGAATACTTTAAGGTATATAAATTGAGGGAACTAAGAGTTTTCCCCAGTCATTGATTTACCGTAAAAAAATAAAGGTGTACACAAACACATGTTTCACACTTAACACCTGGATAATGATGATGGATAATATAATCTACATTTCACAATAATTATTTAAGGATATCAGGGATAATATTCATGAAGTTATAACACAACGATTCAAAGTACCATATTATATTCTGTGATTTACAGTATAATATACTATATATAGTAGAGTATAAGAATCAAAAACAATAATATTAATTATTATTGTTTTCCATTTCCAAACTTAAATGTTAAGTATTACAAATTTACAAATAAATCATGTTACATAACAATTAATAATTATGTATAATATATTGTTGACATAAAATGTGTATAAGTATAATACAAATATATTGTACAGACATAAAACGCTATAGTGTATAAATGTACATAATGTATAATCAAGTACACAAGTACAACGTTATAACTATTATAACCAGATTATCAATAAGAGTAATTGAATGGATTCTATAGTAAAGTTAATTGACACAATTCAACAATACATATCATATATGTGTGTTTCTTTTACTACTACTTTTTTTTCGACAGTATTAATTGGAATTTTTGAAAAAAAAAAAATCAATTGTGTTACTTACACAACAAGACATATTTTAATATAAAACACCTTTACGTTGGACTTGGAAATTAAAAAAAAAAAAATGTTTGACCCAACGTCAACATAAAATACTATAATAGAATATTGTTGTTAAACCTTAAATGCTAGAGTATATTACTTTGCTTGTTCAGCAATTGAAATTGAGAAAGAAAGCTGAAACAATCGTGATGGACACTAATGATCACTAAATGAGATTTAAAAACAATAACTTGGTTGGTTGGATAGTTATCATAGATGAGATTTAATCTCCTCTATTATAGATGCGTTAGAACTGAAAATAGTAACACTGACATTGGTATTCTAAATTTTTTTTGTTTCTTGTCGCATATCCATCAGTCTTTATGATAAATCATAATATGAAATCTAAATCTATTTGACTAGATGTATAAAATTAAAAACAACTAAACCTATTTTAACCTAATACATTTCATTTAAATTACGTCACTACAACATGTAAAGAACATTCAAAATTCATAACACAATAACGCCTCAAACAGCTTCGGGGGTTTGGTTTTTTTTTTTTTGTTTAGTTTTAATACCCGAGTGGTTGTGAACAATGCTTTGAATGGACTATAGAATAATGAACTGTTGTACATAATAATAATAAAATAAAAAATAGATATAATATTTACTTAATAAATACACTACTATGCTATTATATAACTTAAACAACTACTAGTAGGTAATATAGAATGCAAAAGAACAATATTTAATTGATATGTCTACTAGTTAAAATATAGGTATATATATAAACTAAACTAAGGGCACAAAAATGGATATAGTCAAAAGTAAAATTAAATAATCACAATAACGGTGTGTCATCATTATAATCGTTTGGTTTGCTTGTCCAATTTTTCGTACATCCAAAACATATCATAAATATTTGAACAGCCGAACAGTATAAGTACATAATAACATAATATTATAATCACAATAATATTATTGCGTAACTAAAAATACATTAGTTCCTTTAAGCAAATTGGAAGGGAAAAATACGCAGTGTACATATTGTATATTGTAGTGATCAAAAAACAACTTTCCCACCCTGTTCAAGTTAAATTTACTCTTGAGATAATGATAAATTGAAGAAAAAAAATACACAATAATTATACATATACACATACGTACAAATATAAAATATTGGACTCGTATAACTTTTGATAGAAACTTTAAATAAAAAATACACTTATGATTAAAAAAAAACCTCATAAATTGGGTACCTACATAACAATACATCCTTTATATTACTATGTATGTACGCTTTACTCAAAAAGTTCTAACAGTCTTCTAAGTCACTGGGAACATCGAGAGCTGTATGCAACGTAACAGCGACACCTCTGTTGACACTGACTGCTGGATAGAAGACGCCATACAGGCCATTAAATGCCACTGGACCCTATACAAAAACAAAAAAAGATATAGACAACAATTGCAGTGAATCCTATATTAACATGCAGGCTCTAAGATTGAAATATTAAACACATTTTCAGATGTCAATCCTTACTTGGGGTTCATCATTGACAAAAAAAGATAATTGGTGTTTGTTCAGGTCCAGGAGAACGCCAACCGTGGATCCTACCAGGATGCCACCCTCACACCTCTGTTCATGACTGCGGCAGTGCATGAACCAAGACCTCTGCTTGTCGATGTACATGCTCCAACCAGATTCATCTTTTCCTAAAACAAAAAGTGAATTAAAGTGTTAGTACCTAAAGACAACAACAGTAACCTTGGCCCTATGACCCAAAGGTTGGAGTGTGTGAGCTGCAAACAAAATAGGAATACGTTTATAGGGAAGCTTCATTAGTTTTATCCCACACTACACCACTAAAAAAAAATTATACACTGTGTGTCTGTGAAAAAAGGGTACACTATTTAATTAATTACAAATATTACTCAGTACCCAATACATATTTTTGAATTCTGTTTGCCGGACATAAAATTAGACTTTTCGATCACCAATCTCCAGCAGACAGAATTTTAAAATATGATTAGGGTACAGAGTAAAGTATGTAACTGAGTTATAGGGTGTACTCAGTTTTTGTGGATACATGGTATACATGTTCATATATAAATTGATTGTGTATCATTTTAATTAAATATTAATTACTATTGTTGCACACAAATATTTGTCTACAATTAACGCCTTAATTAGCCTATAAAATAAATATACACAAATGTACAAAATGTACAAAATGTCATATTTGAAATCTCTGTATGTATCTACTTAAAATGTATGGTAAAAATCTGAGATGTCTTACTACATTTAATCAAAGCTGGCCAAGTCAGAGATTCTATTTTACTCGAATAAGAGAACGATATACTTGCATGTGTTGTCTCTTTCTTACAAATGTATAACATAGCAAAAACTGCTTTACGTAGGATAGAACCACTCAGTCAGTAATCCTAGTAAACACCAAATTTACACAGTATGGAAGATAATATTTTCTGTGTTGTATTTTTATTTCTTTGCTATCATTAATAATACAAATGGTAAAATACTTTCGAAAATAAGATATTTCCACGTTTTTCAAACAATAACTTTTGAAGTATTGGTCTTATCAAAAAAGTAAAAACGCTATGACACAGTATATCTTCAAATTACCTTCTATTCATCGCGAAAATATGGTTTCCAAGTTATAACTTAAAACTGTAGCCTTCCGGAAACAACACATGCGACTGTAGCGTCCTCTCAATTTAAAAAGTTATTAAGTCATAAAAATAGTTTGATTTTTAGTAAACTAAAAAGTTAACACACAATATTTAAAAATTACGAGGGGTAGGTATGAGCCAGACCACCGACACCGTCGCCCTACCCCTTACTCTGATTTTATGATTAGATAATATATCATTATAAATCGTACAATTACGTCTTGTTATGATGTCTTGATTATTGATATTAAAAATATTTTAAAAATATTATTTCGAATGGCAGAGTGCGTAAAGCCAGCAATAAAGTAAATCAGTGTGCGTGACGCGATCGGCTTTAGGATTCGTGCAACCAAACAGTTTGACAAACATTGTACTAAATGTTTAATCCGTATAAGTACCTAGCATTTCCTCCTTGGACACATCAAGTCTGGCCACGCCGAAACTCGGATCGGTATCGGCGTCGTACCGATCGATTGTAAATTCCCAGTAATGGACTCCTCTGGAGAACCCGACGCTTCCCAGGGCCACGCGGTGCTCGAATCCTTCGCAAGTCACCGTCATATTGTCAGGCGTGAAGCACAGCTCGGGCGAGCTCAAGCACGGGTCGAACGTGAACCAAGCCACTGTAAAAAAAAAATGCATTCAACGGTCATTAATCATTATTATATAAGCGCAGTAGAGTGCACATAGGTGCCTACTGTATTTAAAACGTTCTCACCCCCGAGGTCTTTAAAGTTTATATGACACTTCAAAATACCAATTATATAGGTACTATACTTTAATTTCACACATACTATAATATACAAAAGAGAACGAAGGATTGAGATTTTACAATAATTCCCATCACATATTTTTCAACTCATAATATTTTAATATTAAAATCGAACAATATAGATCAATAAACTATACAACTGTTGAACAATCGGAAGTTTCTTTTAAATATTTATATAAGTAGTAATTTATAAAATGTACAACAGAATTTAGTCATTTTTTAAATGTCAATGATGAATTTTCCATTTGTACTCAAAAATACAGTAATATACCGTCCATGGGAAAGCACAGAAAGTTAAACATTTTTTCGTATTCGTTCATCAGTAAAATATAGAAAAGTACCCCTAGGTTTTCAACTTTTAATAGAACGCCCCCGCTATATAATAGAGTGACGGTACATTAATCGAGTTTTAATTGCAATTGTTCTCTGGGTTCTGAACTACCAAAGTTTTGAGAAAGTAAATTGAAAATCAAACGCAGATGGTACAAGGTGAGAGATTGTTTTTGAAATTTTTCCGCATAGATAACAAGTAAATCAAAGAAAAATATCGAAAAAAGATAAGATAATATTAAATTATAAAGTGCTGTTGCACTAACAAAGCCGTTAAAGAATTAAAAAATTGTTTTATTTTATAGAATCAAAAGTTCTTAACTCTTAAAACTAGAAGTTAAGTACAATCTCGTCCATATATTACTTCAACTATAAGTAGGTAATTAAAAACTTTATTAAATTGTTCTATTAGAGCACATTTATGAAATATTTACACGATAAAATACTGCCTCTACCGCTATCGCTTTCTATAACTATATAAATATATTTAAAAGTCCGAATCATCTTTAAAAATCTCGCCTATAATGTTGGTTATTAAATTTAAAATTTGAACAATGGCCTATAATAATCCAACATTATGAGTTTCCAATAATCTGAGTAGTCAACCATATTATATTCGTTGATCGTTACTCGATGTATTCGATACGACATGCATTCCATTGAGTTATATATAAACTTACATATAATTCAATAAAACCAGTAATAAACCGAGCACCGATCAAGATCGTTTTCCGAGTGCGATGCTTCAATGTCACTTTAAAATTTAAACACAATCTATCCACTCACCATCGAGCCCTGCGTACCAACTACCCGATTTCTGTACATATAACACTTTTTTTATTTTATTAAGAATTATAAAAAAAACCCAGTCTAGAGACGCAATTTATTTTAATCCAATACTAGTTGTACCTATACATATTATAAATGTACTAATATATTGTCGAGAGTAGATCGATTCTGTAACTTAATATAATATGTATATATATATATATTATTTAATATTATACCTTCAGAAGTTTGCAATCCGATTACTTCGCTGTACTCGCCTTCGCCCGCGCTGTTGAACGCTTTTACTCGAGCGTTGTACGTGCAATTGAAGTGTAACCCGTCAACGGTGCAGATGGTTTCCGTGCCGCAATACACCTCCTGTATACGCAAAAACAAATATATTACGGTCGAATTAATTCAACAACACCGAATATTATAAAGGGAGGCTTCAGGCGGATAATAATTTAATTTTAATCGAAAAAATATACACACTACACATCTTCAATAAAGTATATTGTTAACAATAGAAAATTATTACCGATGGACGGTATTTTATTTTCGTCCTGTTTTATGATGCCGTAAAAAACCAAATAGTATTCAAAAATTTAAAATATTTACATAAATGATAAATAATGTGTCATATATTTAATGCATCTACGAGAAACTCAATGAAAAATGTATTCAACAACATCAAATGTATGGGTAGGCAGATATACTTAAATAAAATTAATATAACCCGTATTTTAGAGTTTAATTTATATAGAAGTTATTTCAGAAAAATCATTCTAAACTGATAAAGTTAATAATTTTAATTCAAAAAGCTTTATAATGAAATAATTAAAATTTGGATTTTAACAGTATCTACTTATATACTGAATTATACCTAACAACTATTTATCTATATCCTAAACAGCTAACGAAAAAAGAAATATATGTTTTATAAGATAAGAGTACCATTTAATAAATTATTGAAATTTAATGATGAAAATATTACAATTTTTAATTTACCATAAAGTATTCAGCCAACGCGGGTTTTTATGGCACATATTGTATTTTATAAGAAAAGTGTACTATAATATTACGCTATACATTAATATACTAAATTATTGAAATTTAATAATGAAAGTAGTATTACGTTTTTTAGTTTACAGTGAAAAAAAAATATATCCAGCCAAAACGGTTTCATACGATAAGGAAAAACGATTATTTTCTTACTTTGTGAGATACATGAATAAAACTAGCTATTTCATACACGGCGTGTATTGTGCATAATACCTACTCCCATTCCTACAAATACGAGCTACTTCCCCATTATACAAATTATGTTATTTTTGGTCGCCACTTCCAAGTTTCAACGCAACATAATTGTATTTCATTGATCATAGGTAGGAATATTATTTTATAGTAAACGCAGTGTAACTAAAAAAGAAAGTAAATGTACCACCTTTTGTTTGAGGGTTTCGATTTTTTAGTATTCGACTGGTAATTACAACGAAATGGAATTGAGATAATAATATTGTGGTTTGGGTTCACTTACGTAATGTAAACATTTTAGTAAATAGCAATTTTACTTGTTCAAATGTCACATGCAACAATAAGGTTTTCATTGGTTTTCTTTCAAAAGTTGAATGTCGGAGACTACCTGCCAATTAATGATAATTGATTTCTACTCGATATAAAATATTGATTTGAAAGGAATATTACATTTTCATGCACACGTTTTACCTACTTTTGTAAAATATTAAATGGTTTTTAACTTTTAGGTATGAAAATGAACAAATTCTTATTAATTTTGAAAAGTATACAAACATATAAACAAAAACAAAGTCATAGTTGAAAATTTAAATTGCTTGATTATTATGATTTATGAGTCATGCAACTGGAAAACAATAAAATTTTAAATTTTAAACACAATATATAGATATTAAGTGCTTTACTATCAATTATTACTGATGTAGTATTATGCCATTAATATTCAATACTCATTAGTCAGTATAATATTAGGAATGTGCGTGTTGGTATAAATAGTATAACGATAATTAGTAATTACCAGATCAATTAACATTGGACCGCGATAAAGAAACCAACTGTTGTAATACAAAACTTCTAAAATATATTAACTATTTTCCTAAAAAAAAACAATTATTTTTCCACGGAATTTGTAACTCAATCATAACTAATAAGGAAGGTATTTATTAAAATCTTCAAAGATAAGTTTAATGGAATTAAACCAAATTAATAGAACTTTGATCGTTTTCCAACGTAGTGTTTTTAGAATGAAAGGTCAATTTCACAGATATCAAAACATTCAAATACATAATATCACCAATCTTCTACGTATTTATTTAGATATTATTAACACTCAATAATATACGTAAATTATAATTCATTTATAAATATGACAAAATATTTAATTTCGTTTTTAAAACACTGCAGCAAGCGTATAAGTAGATATGTTAAGTATAGCGTTGCCTGGAACATATTTGTACCCTCCCTAATAAATTATAGTGGTCTAAAGGTTATTTTTATAGAATGGTTATGGTTATGGTGATTTCATAAAAACATTTTACTGCGACCATTAATAACAGAGGACGGTCCCTAAACTCCAAAATATGCCAAATATTCGTGTATAAATAACTAGATGTCCATTTCGAATTTACACACTTATTTTCCTAAGCTTATAATAACTCAACAGTCAATTTACTTCCATATAATACTGTAAAAATACAGAATTACGTTGTACCAGCTTTAATGAAAATATTTGATCGATACCTAGCTATACCTATTGCCGAATATATACACATATTTATGCTATCGTCAGCATGATTTAATTTTTACTAGAGTGGATTATAATATATTATATTATAATTTGGATACATTTTTTTTTAAATTTAAGTTGAACACGGAACTAATTTAAATTAGAAATTTGTATTGACGAAATAACTATTATTTGACTATTAGTTGAAAACGCAGAGTAATTATCATTTAAGGTGTAGTATTGACTGCACCTATTAAAGAGTTGTCCAATGTATACCCACTATGCAAAATAGGAAAATAACTGTCATAATGCATACAACGAAAAAACATTCCGTAAAAACTTAAAACATATAATATACTATACAACAAAATAATGGTTTGTTTAAACCCCGCTTTCATTTCGTGGAGTTGGAAATTCATCGTTATGTCTATGCAATATGCATGTTTATATATTTTATCGACATCTAGAAACGATTTATGGTTTCATAAAATGCAATTTAGCGATCATATAATACAGTTAGGTCGCAAGCTATATTAATTTCGATTTAGATAAAACAAAAAAATACATATTAAAGTGGTTTATATATTTTTTAGTATACATTTATATGAATGGCATCGAGTTTATGTTGACTTGCACGTCTATAACGGGCCATAAAAGCGAAATAATAGATATTTGGTCTGCCAGTCACGTTGAGGTTATGTGCATATTATAATCAACTAACTATTTTTTTTTTGCGATATTATTCTGTTTGTGTGATTTTAAGAAAGACAAAAATCAATATATTACTATTCCAACGTGTTATACCAATTATTTTATGCATGTATATTCGATATTGTATACACTCGCGAAAGAAAAAATGCGATATAAAAAATCTATTGTTTTCTCGGCGTGTATTATTATTATTATTTTTTTTTTTTGTTACAATTTCGTAGAAACACGCATACGTATATTATATTGATGTTATATGTTATTAAAATTCAATGGTATTTTGTATATACCTACTGCAAAAGCAACAACAAAAAATGTCCATGCGCCGACGGCAATCCTTATATACATAATAATATAATGGTTTACATTTTGTGAGCTGCGAAGTGTTGTTATTGGAACTCAGATGTGTCGTTCTGTAATTTAAAATCCATCAACGACCAATGACATTGTTTACAAAAATGCCGAGCTTACTGCGCGTCCAGACGTCGCGATTAACGTTTCCTTCAGTCTTCAGACATTCTAGGACGCGTCTTTCGAACAAATGTACAGCCGCCGGGATTGAACATGAAAACCCATCTATACCACTTTTCCCCGCCAACGACTACACTTTTATTGCAACAGGACACAGTATTCGTAAATCGAAACTTTGTACCGTCGCACAATATATATTATGCCATGTTATTATATTTTCAACGGCAATTTATCATTTTGTAAAAAAAAAATATTGTTTTAAGACGGAAGAATAATGAAACTTTTGTTGTTTTTTTTTGCCGAGCGCATATAATCTACGGGGTGGTACGTTTTATAACTGCTTACATTAATTTATATACTAAGTCTGCTTTTTATGTTTGATTTTACCTGCGGGGTGGTCCAATTAACACTGTATAACAGAAGTTTTTGAAAATATACCTTTTGCATAATTTTAAGTGGTTCCAAAACAACATTTTTACAAAACATATATAAAAAATTTGTTTTCTAACAACTTATAATAAAGTAAAATTTTTTTTTCAAAATTTGAAATAATGGGAGTACCATACTTAGTATAGGGATATAGTTTAAAATATTAATAAATTTACTAACACTTTACTTTTAGAAAGAATGAAAGAAATATAATATTTTACCCAATTAAAGTCGTTATTGATTTCACAATCAGCAGCAAATATACTACGGTGGTAAAAAATGTAATATATAGGTATACGCAGAATGCGTGTAGAGTTTCAAAATAAATACTTCAAGCTATATGCAAATAAAAACATTATTTTCAAAAAACATGAAAATTGACTTAGGTACAGGAAATTAAGCAATAGAGCCGTGTGAAATGGACCACATTGTATAAAACCGTAATAATCTCGCCTGTGACAACAATAATAGAGGACGACAACCGATCGTTAATCTTAATTCGCGCAGTACAACCGCTCGAGCGTCGGCAGTCCGACGCCGGGGGTAATTAGTTTTCTATAATGATTCCGGACATCGTATAGGTACACACTACACACACATAGTTTTTCGACAAAAATCGATCCGCCGAGAGGATATTATTATTATTATTATTATTATTATTATTGTTGTTTTTGTTGTACAAACCCTGAAGTCTCCGCCGTTTCCGTCGTCCAGTTCCAACACGTAGCCTTCGACGTACGAAGAAGCCGGAGGTTGCCACGCGATCGTTACGCTATTGTTCTCGGCGCTGCACTCTTCGGCGATGATCAGCGCCGCGCTCGGAGCTAAACACACAAGAAAAACGTAAGTATGTTGTTCGAAGACGACGCACGTACGATAAGTATATAATATTATTATATTATTTATGGCAAAACGGCCGAAAACACCGCACTGTGGGTTAGTACAGAGCAGCTATGTACGCATATGTTATAAATATTATAAAAATATAAAACCGTCGCATGCATTTGTGAGTATCACTATACAACCATGATTTCGGTAAAAACCGTACAACGGTATACATAAGAATATATTAAGTATACCACATATATTTCGACACGGATGATATACCTATATCGGGTGATCCAATTAAAGTAAAGCACTCATGATTTCAAAAACTATTAACGTTTGGTTTTGAAAATATTTTTTACTAGTTTTGATCGCCATCATTTTTCAAACTTCATATTTTTTTTTATTAATGACGAAAGGAATTTTTTAATGTTCATATCCGTAATAGAATATTATTAGGAGTATTTTAATCCATACAAATCGAATTTTGGAAGAACATTTTATGACTTTATGAGTTATAGATAATTGAAATTTAAATGAGAGTTGTACAGCCGTACAGCGGACCCCGCTAAACGTAAGTCTCCACCCATTTAAAACTTAAATAAGTACTAATAAGTAATAGACTGCTTGTCCGAAATTTGATTTTTATAGATCAAAATACTTGGAATATTAAATTAAAAATGAATAGTGTCGTTTAAAAGAGTAAAAACTTAAAAGACGATAAAAATAAAAGGAAAAATATTTTTTTTTCCTAAAATATCATTTTTTAACATCTTAAAATTATGCACAGGTACCTTAAAGAAATATTTTTAAAAGACGCAATAGTGTTTTCTGAAAAAAAGAGTGACGCTCTAATAGATCACCCCATATAGTACATATACAATATAAGATATATTAAGTATTATGGTTATACCTGTTGCCTTCATGTCTTCTCCGTCCCCGATAGCTTTACAAGGTTAGTGTAAGCGGTAAAAAAACAATAGTTTATTTGTTTAGTATATTATAATAATTTAGCGGTGTAAAATACTACACACATATAACATATTAACAATCTCGTAAAGCTAATATCTAATACACTTTTCAATCAAAGTACAATTAAGTCGATAGATCTTGCAATACGTCTTATTACCTTACTATTGTAGAATACATTTCTTCAACAAAGATAATCATAAATATTGATTGTTGATTATCGGCTATTATTATTCCATTAAAAAGCTGATTTGATAAAACATTTTGACAACCAAAAAAAAAATTTTGAAATTTAATTTTGTACTTAAATTTTTCCCTAGTATTTCTAAAATATTTTTTTCTTATATAATTTTTAAACGACTGTATTTAATTTTAATTATTTTAAATTATCTTTTTACAAGATTGCATATTATTATATGTGTGTCTAATATATAAGTGTTGTATTACTCTGTTAACCGTATTATATACATTATATGACTCATCATATCACGCGCGTTCAATAAAAATCAACTGAGTATTTAAACTAAATGACCAAGTAGGTTTACGAAAAGTTGGCTAGCTTCAGTAAGCTAGCACGAAGCATCATGCTTCAAAAATTATAGGTAGTTACCCATAACGATTTTCATAAACTTAAACGCATGTATTATGATACACAATTAATATTTTTGTAGATAAATGTTAATGATAAAATTTTCTTGGTATTGAATAAAAAAATATGCTCTTAAAGTAAAATTTAGACAAAATGACTTGGTGACTTTATAACGCACGCGATAAATTACACATAAGTATATTTTTAACATGTAATACAAGTTTGAATGCGTGTGTGTAATTAACTATTAACGTTAAATGCAGCATTGTGTATTTGTGTGTGTAAACTACGTACTTTTCATTTGTATAAAGTTCATGTGTTCGATAGCTTTCAACACCGTGTTATCGTCCAGGGTCAAATCCAGCTGGTGATACGAACGAGGAGACGGCAACACGTCCTTGTGCCAGGTCATGTCAGTGTTCGAAACTCTGGCTATCAACATGGACCCAACCTGCAGAACGCACAGGGGAACAACAGAAACATGACACGATAAGTTTCCATACATAACAATATTATGTTATCATAATAATATAATATAATTTAATGTAGTGTTGCAGGTATACGAGCATACGGGTTATCACGAAAACGCCGGCTGACACGTGTGTATAGGTTATATTATACAGAGTGTGTGCAGCGTGTGGGCTTGTACGACCCCCATGATATATTGTTCGATGTAGTACGTTATACGACTTGTAACACGATCTATCATAGCAAAATTTGGGGGAACCAGAGGGGTCATGCCCCTTAAGGAAAGTTAAAATCAGGCCCTCCGAAAACAACGCTCTACACGATACTCGTAGTTGGGGAAATGTTTGGTTTTGTATTGGATTGTGAGGGAAGAGCAGCGGGTCCCGGGACCAGCTGACGGGTCTGTTATTTGGTTCAAAATTGTCTAAGCCCAGTGAGCGAACAAATCGAAATCACGCTATTGCTTACTTGTAAAAACGAAACGGGATCGTTCTCTTTGAGGGCCTCTATGCAGAACTGCAATAGGGACGTGGTTTTCTGCAGCTTGCACGTACAGCTGGTCACGTGATCCTTGAGCGATCGCTGTTTGATCTCCTTATCCTGTCGCACCGCGTCGATCAGCCACTGCCTCCGCCTCTCGATGGACCGGATCAGCGCGTCACACCTGGCGTCCACTTGTCGCTCCAGTTCTTCGCACTCGCCCTGCAAACACAAACCCAACAATATGGTTAGGCGTTCCATCTTCTCTCCTCTAAAGCACCGACTATACAACACACTCCTCCCATGACACTCCGCTACACATTATGGGCTTGTTATAAGTATATAGGTAGTTATATACCGCGGTTAAGCAAGTCGCAGACTCTTGGACAAATTGGATCCTGCCGCAAACTCATATAATATATATTTATTCGTAGGAGTGTTGTTACTTGTTATACGTGCCCAGCAACACCAAGTCGCGTACTCCGCCGTATATGTATATTATAATATAGATATAATGTGTATATATACATACAGCGGGTCGTGGACGACGTGCACGTTCGTCTAGTTTGGGCTTTTCGTGTTTTACGACCGCTACCACTTGCACGACGAATGAAGACTTATTATATTATATTATGCGAAGTTAAAGATCGATTTTTATCACCCCCCCCCCCTTCGCAACGGACAAATATACCTAAATTGAACCCGCCAAAGAATAACTCGAAACGCACAGAAAAATAAGAAAGAACTTTTTATATTCGTGACTGCACTACAGCGCATAAATATTATGCTTGGTCGGTTTTGTCAGTGTGTAGAATACTAGAATACAATATTATACTGCAGCAGTATACACGTTTAATGCACGCGTTTTGTGTAGAATTACACGCGCTCGTCGATTGTATTATAAAACAATATTATTTGTGACATCAACATCGAGCGCAATTAAATATTGTATTGTTCTCGATTCCACGAATTTAAATTTGTTTTTCAATTAACTTCCATTAAAATATGATATACCGAAGAAAACACGACCAAAAATCGAAATCACCGAACAACGAGTACACGTCATGCATAATTAAAATATGCACTCCCGTAATTTTCGATCGCAGCTAATTGTACAGCAATTTATTGAAATATTACGCTGCACGATAAACAATAATCGTTTGTCTATGATTTTCTACGCGTAGACGTGTATTATATTACATAGTATTATAATGAATTAATAAGGAAAAGACCTATAGAGATAGAACGATGGAGGGGTATAAGAAGTAAGTAGTAGAAAAGGATCTTAAAACTCTGGGGATTGCAAGATTGAAAGGAAATTGTTCAACATCAGGAGAAATGGAGGGAGGGATATATAGTGATGGCGGCAGACTCTATAGTAGAGTTATAAATGCTTACAGTGATGATGATGATTAATGATGATATGCATAATATGTATTAATAAATATAGTAGCCGCAGTGACTTACGTTAAGTTTTTCAGACATTTGCTTTAACCTCTGAATGAACTCTGTAGTGGTTCGAGCTTTTTCGGACAATTGTTGAAGGTTCTGGGATAGTTCCGTCTGAAAAAATGGAATAAAACAAATTAAATTGCTGTCCGGGCAACATTTTAACTGTACACACGCATGCACACACTCCGAACGAATCCGTCTCAACCCGTTCGAAGACTTAGCAACGCGTTGTGTAATTTACATATTATGCAGTATATATATATATTAGATTATATAGCTATTATTACGCTATTAGCTACACCCGACCCTTCTGCTATATATATATAATTTATAAACCTTTGTTTTTATTAAGATACGTTCCATTAAACTATGCGTAGAACTCCATCAAATATACCGTCCAAGTTCACTTACATATATAGAACACGCGCGGGCGTAGAGCGTACGCCCAGAGAGATCTATTATACATCCTCCATATCCATACTGCTGCAGCGTTTACACCCCGGCGGGCAGGACCCCACATAGAGTGATCGTATATGTATATGTGTGTATGCTGTATATGCCCGGGCACTACACGTTTTGAACGACCCCAAGGCATTTGACAACCATATTATATATACTTACTCCGGAAGTTTGATGTCTCATTCACAATAACCCAATTATCCTCGCTACATGCGCGGCACTATGCGTTTATACACAATTATCGACCTGTAAATGTATATATTTTACATCGAGTACCTAATAATCACCATCATCGCAGGGTTGCACAAACGCGCTTGCTCGGCAGCGGCTAATGAAATTTAATTCATAATTTGCGAGAGTTTTAGTTTTTCTACGCAGGACGAGGATATTGTACCTATATATATAATATATATGCTGTGAACAACCCGCGTTAAACATACATCACGGGGTTCAATCGTATGAGACTATACTCTACAGATATATATACAGAGTGATACAACGGGTATACTCAAACCCTCATTTTCCTCCAATAATCCAGTTATTCAAAATTGTTCAGTTATTAAATGGTTATACATTATAAAGGTAATAGTCCTTAAAAATGGTTCAAACACTTCTTCAGTGGTGCAAAAAAACCTCAAGCAATTTTGTATATTATAAATCTATATAATATTATAGTAAGTAAAATACAATACTGAACTTAAGAATTCTTAAAGTTAATTTTAATATAGTAATTTTTATACGATCCTTCATTAATCAGTAATCACGAGTCACATGCTTTTTGATAAGAAAAGTGGGCCAATAGGCTTTGGCGTTTATTCCTAGTCGGCTCTATCTAGTTGTTATGCCTACCTAAATATGTGGACCACTCACCGTAATTACATTTAAAAAACATAATACATAGGGAGGTGAACACTCGTCCATTAAAAAACTTTCAGTGAAAATATCGATTTTTCACGTGTTAAAGCCTATAGGTATACCATATAGTAGGCGGTGCCTACTATCGCACTGTGAATATAATAATATGTCTGGGATGGCATTTACATATAATATTCACTGCTGTAGGATACATTACACTGAGTCAAAATTCAAGTCGACTGGTGCAGCGTTGTTTTTTTAACAAAAACATGATGTTACACTACAACACGCGGAGGTCGTTATAAGAGAGGCGTGAATGACATTTCCCTTGCCGCGTGCGACACATCCTATGTGTTTACTACATTTTTTTTTTACTATATTACCAGTAGTTTACCAACTATCAGTGGAATCCAGTATAGTCGTACCGCTTATTAAATTCACAGTAAATTGACTCATTCGTCTGATGGACTCACACTATATTACTGCACTGTGGTTAATGAGGTCAATGAGTATTTTTAAGGGCATATTTCCTCATTATTCCAATTTTAACGCATATATTTTGAAGATTAATACTATTTTCTAGAATCAGCACATCAAAAAGTATTTAAGTTTTTAAAAATATTGATTTGATATACATTGAAATGATAAAGGAACAAGTACAAGTATGTTTTTTTTCCATTTGTGTCGTTATTAATTAATAATGTTGATGATTTTTTCTTTATTATGAATGACTACAAATATTTAAAATACATTAATAAATAAATACCTGTATATTATGAACAATGACAATATTTATAAGTTCTTACTACTCATGGGCAATACGTAGCCAAATTAATTTGTTTTACTACAACGCATATATTACAATAATTTTTTTATTCTTGGACTTTTCGCCTCATATTGACTCATTCGGTTGATGGACTCAAAGTGAGTCGACTAAGTAAGCGGTTAATTGTATTTATAAATTATACACATTAATACATTATACGCGCGAGTATATTTATATGATGCATAACATAACTTTTTACGAAGAAAATAATAATAACGGTGATTGCGCCGGATAGTTCTTACGCAGTATATTGGCAGTGG